GGATTTAGTGATTAGGGGTTAGGTTTTAGGGTTAGGTTTAGGTTTAGGGTTAGGTTTAGGTTTAGGTTTAGGGTTAGGGTTAGGGGTTAGGGTTAGGGTTTGAGGGTTAGGGTTTAGCTTTAGCTTTGAAATGTTGGCCCCAGGTTCGAATTATCGGGGCAGTGTGGGGGGGGGGGGGGGGGGAGGACACCTGGGTAAAAGTATATATATTTTCTATTATATCAACTCTAGACATATTTTTTTTTGGGGGGGGGGGGGGAGGCGAAGAGATGCCTGGAAGTAACTCTGAATACCTCACATGCCGAATGTAGGCTTTTTATTTTTTAAAATGCCGAATGTAGGTGTGTCTAAAAAAAACTTGATCAGTTTTTTTATAATACGCCTAAATTCTACTACAAAGTTAATAAGAAATGTAAATATTCATTGCACGGAATACTGAAGTCAGTAAAATATTTACCGTTTTATTTTGGTAACAGTTAAAATTAAAATGATTAATAGAGAGTACATAGACTAAAATAACCTTTTCAAATTATTTTACTGAATTTTTTTTTTTTTTTTTAGACAACAACAAATGTTCCCCCGATTTGTGTGTGTAAACGATACGTTTTGTTAGTGAAGCTACACCATTTTATTTCACAGGACTCAATGTCCAGTGCCGGCGGCCAGGTCATTTAGCGCCCTAGGCAAAACTTATTAAAACGCCCCCTTTTCACACAAATTAATTACTAAAACACATGCATAAGAAAAACAATTTAATTAAAAATGACATATTAATTTTATTATCAAATGCAATGCACGTTATAAGTAGACATCAAAATCAAATTTTTACTTGCCCCCTTCGTTTCAAAAGTTTGTACTAATTCCTTCAATTCCAGTTTGCAAGCGTAATCACATTTTATTGAAAATTGTTTTCTAAGTCCACGAGTCTACTTTGTGGCTTTTACGACATAGTCCTCTCTCCCCCCCCCCCCCTTAGAAAATGTTATGTGCTGGAAAAAAAAATCACCTGAAAAAAAGTTCTTGTAGTGTTGGGCTCTCTGCAGTCCTAACGATTTTTTTTGTTTTTGAAAAATAAAAGGTTATTGCTATAGATTCCAGCCTAAAATTGTTATATATGAATCCTTTAGGAGAAGGTGAAAAATATGACAAGACAATTAATTAGATGTTTAATTTACGACTAAGACTGTATGTCTACTAACATTAAGTATTGTAATCTACAACGGCTACTGATGTATTTGTTTTTCAACTTGATAAGGCTAAAAAAAAAACCCACCAAACTATTTTGTTTAGAACTTAAGCTATAACAATTTTTAAAGTAGCAAATAATAACTTAAAGTTGTATTTATATGTATGCGGTCAAGCTAAGGTGCAGGAGTTTGAAATGAATGTAAAGATAAGCAACGATTTACCTCCCATTTGAAAATCAAAATAACTAAATTGTATTCAAGGGAAATAACTTTCACAAGAATTGCTAAATTAACCAAGAGTAACTAAGACATGTTTGAAAAACACAATAAAACGCTGTAAATTTCATTACTTAATAATTATAACACATCTTTTATATTAACTATGTAATCTTGTAAAAATAGTATATTTTACATATTGAACACTTAACTGTAGGTTTTATTTTGAAAGTCTAAAAAATGGTAGCTTTATTATAACATGTTTCTATTCAATTATGATGACATACTTTTTAACGGTGGTATGCAGATTTGTTACAATTAAATTTTGGATCCCTTAAATCAGGGATTCCCAACAGAATTTGTTTCATAAACATTAATTTAAAATATGATTTTTTTTATTCATTTGTTACAGTTTTAATTTTTTTTTTAACTGCCTAGGTTTATTAAATATGTTCGATACTCGTCCCAACTTGTCTAGCGGCGAGCCAGACGGTACTATTTACGCTAGCCTGGAACGGAGTTAATAAACAGTTTGAAGAGAGATTTTTGCAGTTTAAACAAATTGAGCCAATAGTTTCCTTCTATATCAATCCCTTTACTTGCCAAATAAATGTTATGGAAATAGCCGCATGTATTGCAGATTTTGTTCAAGGTAAGACAGAAGAACTAGAGTTAGAAATTTTGGGAGATCTTTTTGTCCACGGAAAAAACGTTTGTTGGTGATGGCTGAGGAACTTTGCCAAGAAAAATCAAAGACATGCCTGAAACAACCTGGCCCCCGAACTGAAATTTGCTAGGTAATGCGGCCCTCTGACTGAAAAGTTTGGAGACCCCTGCTCCAGAACTACGACACCAACTCGCTTTACTTCACCAAGCTCTACAAACGGTACTCCCAATGAACAAGGATTTCACTGGACTACTACTACACGATAACATTCAACATAGTTCGATACCTTAATACCACAAGACTCGATACTCCCTAACTCCAGAACAACGATACTTCATCACCTACATTCTCATTTCTCTACTACCAATCAGATTTCACTAGAACTTCAACAACACGACAACAGCCAAATAAAAAATACGACACGTCGATACTTTATACCTACGAAACCATATCAGCAACAGCCTTTCGCCGTTACATCCAAATCTAAACGAGTCATCAAAACTTACCAAACAAGGGACAATACTTTGAACACCCAGTCATTACAAAACTCTATTCACCAGGACAGATTTCTAATTCAAAGTCAGAGAAAACAATCCCTATTAAAATGTTCGAAAATTTAAATTACGAACTTATTTAATCGTTTTCAACATCAATTATATGACACCAAATTAAAAAGGCAAAGTGACTGGTAAAAAGCGCCCCAACCTTTCCAAATTAGGGAGGTGGGGTTGCATTTTCACCATCGCGAATAAATATAGGCCTATCCAATACAGACCTTCTTCTTCTTCTTGGTTCTTAATTTAGTATATGATATAGGATTTAAACAAGCCCAACTTCGTGTATGAACTGGACTGTGGTCTCCAGATCAGCAGGTGCCCCATATAGTTTTTCCTTGAGTGGGGTGTGTAGGGGCCAGTGTTTTGATCGCGCCTGGCTATATAATGAACGTTCTTGAAGGACGTGCTACGTATTCTCCGGGGCCTTGCCACAAGGGCATATTTCGCCACACCCAATTTTTAGTTTTTTATGCTTGTGCTGTTTTAGACCTAATTTTGGTGTCGGGTGCAAAATTGATAGTTCGTCCTGGGCGCCGAAATAGATCGCTACTCCTTTATAAAAGTTATTAATTATTAGGTACAATTTTTTATAATAGCGATTAAACCTTTTGCGCCCCCCTAGGGATGGCGCCCTAGGCGACCGCCTAGTTCGCCTTATAGGTAGCGCCGGCCCTGACCATGTCAATCAATTCAATGCTTGAGTCTCAAAACTTTTATTTAAAAAATTGCAATCGACATTTGTACAATGGCCTTCGAAGCAATTGGGCTCGGGCAATGGGTACTAGAGAAAACAGCTATAGGATAACGGCAATCGGCATTGGGCAAACATTATTCGGGCAAGCATGATGTTGATAAAAGGTATTTGAGAACACGTCATTAAGGGCAATCGGGTTTTGGGCTAACAGTTTTCCGGGGAAACTCTGCTTATTTTATCTAACATCTCGTACACAAAAAAAGTGTTGTTGTTTTTTATAATAACAAAAAAGACGGTAATGAGATGTATAGATAACTTTAAAAAAAACCCAGCCAAACTCACTGTATTCAAATAAGAAGCGGGTATTTTGTTCTGAAATTAACTCCGTTAGCATCTAGATCAAGTTTATTTTTTTCTTCCTCAATGGCTTAGAGATTTTTTTTATTACCTAGCGCACCAATCAAGAAGTAATACAGCCAATCTGAACTTTTAACGAAGCTCGTATTTCAACAATAGAAAAAGCAACTAACACTGTAATAAGATTAACAAGGGATTATTAAATCAACGGGGATATTCGCTTGCATTTACTTAAAGCAACGACGATCCCCTAATTGGCTAGATTAGGTCTGAACAGTGAAAAGAAATTACGAATGGGTTGCTACTGTTACATGTATCATAATTTATATATATATATATATATATATATATATATATATATATATATATATATATATATATATATATATATATATATATATAGCCTATATGTATGCTACTATCCACAAGCTTTTATATAAAGGTAATAAAAAACAATCTTCAGTGTTTTAAAATGTCAACGGCACGTGTATTTAACTCATTGCGAACGTGGCGCCAGACACTAATTAAAACTAAAATCCCCCAGACAGTTGCGCCTCATCTGATGGGATTGGGCTAAGAAGATAAAAAGAAGTCATCATCAAGCCGAAGATTTGTTAGTTATCTTCTAACAACAGGGGCATTGTTTTTAAAAAGGGTACATGGTCAAAGGCCTACTAGAATAAGTCTAGCAATTCCATTGTCTTTTGTCTATTGGAACTACCTATAAATATGCCTTCTAAACGTATTGAACCTATAAACATTTCACCTATAAACATTTCACATATAAATGTTTAACCTATAAATATTTAACCTATAAATATTTCACCTATAAATATCTGACCTATAAACTTGTCTCATAAAAAAAAATCTGACCTAAAAATATTTCACCTATAAATATCTGACCTCTAAACATTTTCCCTATAAATATCTGACCTATAAATATCTTACCTATAAACATTTCACCTTTAAATATCTGACCTATAAACTCGTCACCTATAAATTTCTGACCTATAAACATTTCATCTATAAATATCTGATCTATAAACATTTTATCTATAAACATCTGACCTATAAACATAAATATTGAACCAATGAATGCTCGACCTACCCTTCTTGCCCTTGAGCTTGATGCAGTGAGTGCCCTTGAAGAAGCCGTAGAAGCACGAGCGCTTGATGAGATGGACCGTCCTGATGCCGACATCAAACGTGTCCTCGCACTCCTCGATCCCCCCGTCAATCGACGTGCACTGATAGCAGTCGATGGCGTCCACTGAAACATAACAACAAGGGTTAAAAACTGTAACAATGTACAGCGGCAACTGATACATAACAACAAGGGTTAAAAACTGTAACAATGTACAGCGGCAACTGATACATAACAACAAGGGTTAAAAACTGTAACAATATACAGCGGCAACTGGTACATAACAACAAGGGTTAAAAATTGTAACAATGGGTTAAAAACAATCTACAGCGTCCACTGAAACATCACAACAAGGGGTAAAAAGTGGAACAATGGCATCAACTGAAACAGCACAACAAGGGTTAAAAATTGTAACAATCTACAGCGGCAACTGATACATTACAACAAGGATTAAAAACTGTAACAATAGATGGCGTCAACTGAAACATCACAAGTGTTAAAAACTGTAACAATCTACAGCGGCAACTGATACATATACACAAGGGTTAAAAAGTGTAACAATAAACAACTTAAAACAATACAGGTTAAAAGCTGTAACAATAGATGGCGTCAACTGAAACATTACAGACATTACAGCAAGGTCTAAAAATTATAACAATAATCAATTTAAAAAACCCACAATAAGGGTTAAAAACAGTAACAATAGATAGCGTCAACTGAAACATTACAACAACGGTTAAAAACTGTAACAATCCAAAACATTAATCAAAACATCACTACTAGGATTAAAAACAGGCAAAGAAAAGTGAAGATAAAAACTGTCATGGAAATTTAGCGAAAGTAATAATACATTGTCAAGTACAATTTAAGTTCATCTTTATTTGGTGAATTTTATTTAAGTTCCATTGTTTAGGGATAAAGTGTGGTATTAAGATGGTAAGGAATAGGTGAATTAAATTGACCGAAAGAATAAAAAAAATTTGTTTGGTGTAACCTTACTGAAGCTATATGATGGTATGACTAAAATAAAAGCCCAGACATCAATTTTCCACTTTTTGTTATTCGTTTGTTGGAAAGGAACGTAATACGCGTGTTTGGTTGAAGAAAACGGAATGATCTTTTGTTAATTAGGAACTTTAAATAATGAGTCGTAAAAGGACAAACTGGATGGTGTTCCAGTGTTGATTAAAAAAAAAATTAGAAATTTAACGATCGTTTAATGTCAACTTTATGTTTCGATCGATACTTGTTTAGTTATTATTCAACACCCTAGCAGTCAACCATTGATCAACGCTAGCAGTAAACCGTTTATCCACGCTAACAGTCATTCATAATCCACGCTAGCAGTCAACCACTTGTCCACGCTAGCAGTCAACCACTTATCCACGCTGTCAACCACTTATCCACGCTAACAGTCATTCATAATCCACGCTAGCAGTCAACCACTTGTCCACGCTAGCAGTCAACCACTTATCCACGCTAGCAGTCCAAACATTTATCCACGCTAGCAGTCAACCACTTATCCAAGCTAGCAGTCAACTTCTTATCCACGATAGCAGTCAGCCACTTATCCAAGCTAGCAGTCAACTTCTTATCCACGATAGCAGTCAGCCACTTATCCACGATAGCAGTCATCCACTTATCCACGCTAGCAGTCAGACATTGATCAACGCTTGCAGTCAACCACTTATCCACGCTAGCAGTCAACAACTTATCCACGCTAGCAGTCAACAACTTATCCACGCTAGCAGTCTACTACTTATCCACTTATCCATGCAAACAGTCAACCACTTATCCACGCTAGCAGTCCACTACTTATCCACGCTAGTAGTCTACTACTTATCCACTTATCCATGCCAATAGTCAACCACTTATCCACGCTAGCAGTCAACTACTTATCCACGCTAACAGTCAACCACTTATCCACGCTAGCAGTCAACCACTTATCAACGCTAGAAGTCAACCACTTATCCACGCTAGCAGCCTAACCACTTATCCACGCTAGCAGTCAACCACTTATACACGCTAGTAGTCAACCACATCCACGCTAGCAGTTTAACCACTTATCCACGCTACCATCCACCAACGAACCCAACTATCCATCTATTCAACCCACACCTCTGAAATCCTCCAGCACTACAGAACGGGAATATTTGGGGTGGGGAGGGACGGAGACATGAAATAAAACATTTCTACTCCTCCCTAAAGAGTTGTAGTGTCAGCAAATGATGCAGACGGCGACCTTTACCTTGGCCGGGGATAGTTTTGATTGAAATAGAAAATAAAAAGCTGACAAGAAATGTTTTTTTTTATAATTCCACTACACAAATTTGGTATTTGGAAATAAAGGGCAGCGACTCTGAAATAGTTATTTTTACATTAAAAAATGTGTTAAAAGTGCAATTTTAAAACGAAACATGTTTCAGCTTCATCAGGTTTTAGGGGTCTAGCCATGTTGTCAATAGTCTTTAAAAAAAAAATAAAAAAAAACAGAAAAAAAAAACAGCCAGACAAAATGTTACAGGCCGTGACAATTGTTTGAATAATATATTTTCGTTTTTTTTCTTTTCTTTTATCCGACGCATGCTGGCATTGATTTACCCCCCCCCCCTCCCCCACTCCCTCCACCCTCTCAGACAGACCAGCCTTCAAACGTCCGAGCTCCCAAATTGGGAATTTCCAACACCCACTCATGCTACGCTGACATCGCCAAAAAAAAAAAAAAGATTTCTGATTGATGCTTCACTGTGGTTACCCAAAAGCAGAAGAAAATTTAAAAGGGCCTGAACCCCACCCACCACATCCACCCCGTCCACCCCATACCCAGGTGTTTTATTTTGCATGCGCCTCAAACATTCCATCAGACTCACCCCGACTCCTGCGAAATTTCAAGCACGCAAAGATATGTTTGCTATCTGATTACGTTTCATAGAACTGCATAGACGTTATTTCTGTTACCCAATCGTCCTCTCACCGCCCTTTCTCCGTCCCCCACACCACCCCACCCCCCACACACCCCATCGCCCCCCCCCCCCCCCTCTCACATTCCACGTAAATATACCGGCGCCGAGTTCACCAATGTCAAATTATTTTTTTATTTGACATTTCTGGCATTTTTGATTCCGCCCATGTTCGTTCGATTCATCCAGCCGATGTTAAGCGCGCCTTCAATAACACGGCTATTTATTCAGGGAACTCTACCCCCCCCCCCCCCCCCACAGACACACACCCCACCCCATTCTGAAGTATCTTCGGCCCCAACTCCACAAACGTGAAAGAAATTCCACTTCCGACTTCACCCAGCTTATATATCGTACCCGACAATTCAGAATCGGATATCAAAGATTTTTTTGTCGATATTTCGATAGTTAAGCAAGGTAATCGATTTTGTAGAAGAAAAGGCCGAGGTATCGATTAGACGATTGATTGCGAGTTTTCAAGAAGTTCTTTTGTTCGGGGTTCGATGAAATCGCTCGTTCGGGCTTTGTTTCCGGTTAGACAGAACTTGGACACGGTCCATGGAAACGTGGACAAACAGGTTTGTTTACTGTGTGCCCAGGAATTTGGACACAGTCCATGGAAACCTAGACACACAGGTATGTTTACTGTACCCAGGAATTTGGACACTGTCAATGGAAGCGTAGACAAACAGGTTTGTTTACTGCGTGTCCAGGAATTTGGACACAGTCTATGAAAACCTAGATACACAGGTCTTCAGGAATTTGGGTAACTGACAAAACAAATCTGTTCCCACCGCTCTGATGAAAGTGCGTGATTTAGTTTGTTTTAGTCTAGCCTTTATATTCGATGCCAGATTACTAAGCAAAAAGAAAAGCCATCAGCTAATGCCCTTTCACTTCAAAGTATTGCGTTAAAAATAATCACTTTAATGGTTTATAAATTAATACTGTTCTGTTTATAACAATCTATGGGGGGGGGGGGGGGGGACAAGGAAGCTACAACACAGGGGTGCCATAGTAAAGCTACAGGGCGCCATGAAACACCCCAGAGGTAGTCACAAACATCCAGTGATATGAGAGAGGTGGGTAAATAAACACAGGTGATAGCTGTCTTTGTTGGTGCCAGGTGGGATGGTGGGTGGGAGGGTGGGTGGGAGGATTTGTGGGATGGTGGGTGGAATGGTGGGTGGGATGGTGGGTGGGTGGGTGAGCTGGTGGGTGGGAGGGTTGGTGGGATGGTGGGTGGGAGGGTGGGTGGGATGGTGGGTGGAATGGTGGGTGGGTTGGTGGGTGGGATGGTGGGTGGAATGGTGGGTGGGTTGGTGGGTGGAATGGTGGGCGGGATGATGGGAGGGATAATGGATGGGATGGCGGGTGGAATGGGTGGAATGGTGGGATGGTAGGTGAGATGATGGTTGGGATGGCTGGTGGAATGGTGGGTGGGATTGTAGGTGGGATGGTGGCTGGGATGGCTGGTGGAATGGTGGGTGGGCTGGAGGATGGGATTGTGGGTAGAACGGTGGCTGAGATGGCGGGCGGATAATAAGGGTGAGGGGAGGTAAAGCTAATCAGTGATATGATCTTTTAAAATTTAGACCCCAACCAGCGTAGGTTGTTCTAACAAGAGCACTTAGAATAACGTTTTACTTTATTGATTATGTTTCTTTACAACGTCTAAAATTATAGGAGGGATTTGATGCGGCCACACTGGTAAGCTTACCATTAAAACAAAAAATAAACATTACAAACATGACTGAATGAGACAAGCATAGTTTTGATACAGCCAATTTTTTATCATGATACGATTTCGTCACTCGTACCCTTTGTCGTTGTGTTATAATGATACGCATTTATTGTGATAATCCACACATTGATTCCAATAATTACATTACTCTGTTAATTATACAGGCTAAAGCTTCGTGAATTATCTCCCATCTTTATTTTTTTTTAAACCCCGGTCATTAAATAACACAGGGATGGGTAAATGCAATTAGCAGCTCTGCCCTTAAAGCATTGCATGTAGCCAAATGTAGGGTTATAGGAATGGGTGGGCGGGGATGGTGCTTGGCTTTTTTTTTGGTAGGAATTTGTCTCAGGGCGGACCATGATTTCTGTTTAAAATATGACACACATACTACATACATCGCTCACCTGTTACACATTCAA